CCAAGTGATAGATAGCGACCAATTGTCAGTATGAATTCATGAGTATAGAATTTATCATATTGTTGACGGAGGGTACTTACAATACCGAAAGTCTGTATACTTACAAGGCGAATATCGCTGTAAGTAGGACAGAGGGACTGGAAAAAACTGCCTCTCGGGACTTTTAATCCCAATTCTTATGACAAAGATATCGTCCATGTGCGTATCAATTGTAATTGGAGTGGGTACCGGATGGAGAAACTGCTTTTGGTATTAGCTACAAGTTAATATATAGAGAAATTGCAATAAATTGAGGTTTCTCATAGATCGACGAAAGTCTCATGCCTTACGTCTAAATTACGAGGAGTATCGACACCGGCGCCGAATATAACGATCAGAAGAGAGTTAACGTAACACTAGTACTTACGACTCTAGCGATATTATAATCCTAGCGTGCTTAGGGGCGGGGGTATTTTTAGAGAGCCATGATAGAAAATATTTCCAGGCGACTCGAGTTTGCGAAGTGATGGTGTACATGTAGTCATGATTGGTCAGAGTGTGTTGTTAAACCTTAAACTTACATACGTACATCATATGTAGATCTTTCACTACAATCTCACTACAGTATAGTAATATTTGTATACTAATCTCAAACGAAAGGTATAGGTGGCATGTTTCTAGTCGTTCAATTCACCAAACTGGGGCATGCGCACCTTATATGTTTTCTTCCTACAGCGTCCCGGTACTTTATAACCCGATCTGACAGATCTAGAGCACTTGCGCACGGTAGTTTTCTGTTAGCTGAAAATATTTTGGTCGCTTGATCGACACATCTAGATACATATTGTGCATGTATCCTTGGCCGGCTTATATTGATTACATGAATTCGAAGACACCCTAATTAAACCTCAAATGACTGGGTGTGCGTTCGATTACATAGCATTCAGTAGAGGTAAAATAAACTATGTGTACGTCTCTACAATGGTACGAAACATACCATGGGAATACATCACTAAAGTCGTTCATAGAGATGTGTATAGATCCGGCCTTTAATTTGTATCTAGTTCGAAATTATATTCATCTTTTGGTGATGACCCTGCAAGCTACTATCCTACATGTTTAAAGGGGCATTATAAAGGTCTGCTCTATAATTTAATATAAGAAAATTCAGTTGATAAATCAAATCAACGAATCATAGAATATCACGCGATGCTATATAGATCGATAGATCTATATTGCGTACAATTTTAATGGCCTTTCTCCGTGTATTATTACTCTCTTTCAGAATCCAGATTCATAACAATTAATAGCTATGGTATAAGTAAGTCTATACGTTCTACGTACTCCTAACCACCCACAAACGTGTAGCTATATATATAAATTATCCTTATACTGACTGCGCATGATGCAATATGGCCACATGAGTTATATCACTACCGTGTATCTTTTGCTATGTTTCTAGAACTCCCAATCTAAAACCTCACAGTCTTCGACCATGATCAATCCTCTCATATCAGTAAGCCCTCTATACTACTATATATGAGTCTGAGGTAACTCTAGTACTCGACAGGAAAGGGTTATATATATCATAAATAATGTTTTTCATATAATATATGAAATGCAACGTCCCGTAAACTCATCTCAAATATGTAGCTCGCGACCGGATCACTTTTGTCTCGGGACAAGATTGAAAATCACCAAGATGTACACCAATGACACATATTCCCCTAGGGTACCAACTTTGTTAGGAATCGGGATAGCACATCCTAGGGGTCGGGATAGGTTATCCTGTGAGAGGATAAGTTTGAGTCATTTGGGTGTTTTGGGATCCCCAAGCATCAAGTAGCTAAAATAGGAGATTTCGCTCTTATTTGGATAAACTATCCCCACAAAGAGATATAGTATCTTTACTATAGGATACTGTATTCGGGGATAGCTTATCTTTTCCCGTGTATATATATCCTTTCATGTGGATATAATCTAATATCCTCTGATAAGGATACGGATTTTCACATAGAATAAAGTGTTCTCCTGCTTGTAGTATTTCGCATCCCTAGCAATTTTGGACTTAGACAAATTCGGTTTTTTTTTTTTGGCTGTCGAATTTCAAAACTAAGGTTGATATTGGCAATTTGTACTAGTTTTGTATCTAAACCACTATCATAGTTGGTAACATCTGCTAGATCCAATCACCAATGCCTAAGTTCAATTCCCCTGTATATTTTTTAAATCTAGGTTCTTGATGATATCCCCTACGAAGGGTAAGGTATCCCCTACCAGTCAGAACATCCCCACCCCCATGAAATATCTCTCCTTAACTGGGGATATCTTATCATATCCCGGTAAAAAAGGATAACTTATCCAGCAAATCGACGGGTAGTACCCAATAGTTAAGATATCACATCCTACCTGAGAGGATTGGGCATCTCTCTACAGGAGGATATCATATCCCACTTCGGAGATGAAAACAGTATCCTGCCTCCGGGGATGAGTTATCCAGTACTTTGTCCTCTAGGGATTCATATTTAGTAGAAACTCTAGTTCATAATATCACCGAACTCGATCGAGCTTCCACCGGCCTAATATAGGACATGGCCGGAGGCGCCGCCTATATAACCAACAATCAAAGAATAGATAAAGATTTCGTTATGTAACTTAAGCGTTTCATCATGTTCAGGTTGGGTCACAACTACTCACTCGATTTCTCACGCGTGCCTGTTTTTGACGAGCGAGAACAAGTGTGTACTTTTAAAGAAATTTATTATCAAAATTATCTGAGCAAGATGCAGAGGTACTACAAAGCCTGTCTTCATGGCCAAGGGGCCTCCCGAGTTTATTTCAAATTATTGAGGAGCGAGGGCGTAGAACACCCCAACAGATAGATCTACGCGTAGAAGAATCTAACTTGGTATCATAGTATATAATGATTTCTCTTTACCCGTACTACTATAATTATACTCTTAACAGGTAGAAAAAAATTCAAATATATTAGTAGTATTGCTCATAATATGATCATTGAAAAGAAGACCAGGGTTTCCAACCCTAACCCAGTTAAGTGGTGCAAGTTAACAATCGAATCTTACCCAAGTGAAAGTTAAGCGACTACAGTACTTAAGGAATATATATAAGTAATATAAGGACCATCCAACCATGCTCATAGTAATTACTTTAGTTACTTTGGCTACACGTAAATATTCACTTTCTAAGCTAACTTGCAAAATTTTGCAAGGGATGAAATCTACCCACATCCAGGGTATTATGGCTACACTACATGTACATGTAATATATCGCTAGCCTAGCTGTGATGCGTACTACATACATTGTTGCCCCACCCGTCTATTTTATAGGTGCTGTTGATTTGAAACTGTGTACCTTTATCAGCTCTTGATCCCCTCCATGTACTACATGTATCCTGATAGATTTGTTTTCTTAAGTACTGTAATTGGGATGTCGTCCTTCTAAACTAATTGGCCCGTAAATCTACCGAATAAAACAAAAACGGTTGGTTTTGATGTACGGGAATCGAAATAGGGCTAGGGTTATGTCCTCGACCAATCACAATGCTTCATTTACGGGGGAAAAACAATCGTTACGTTTAGTAGATTAGTATGTGGTAAACCGCACGGACTTAATTAGGTCTTATTATTTCTATCATCACCGCCCTAGGGCCTTCCCGTAATTTGAGGTTTGATTGGTTGACTGTTCACCTGTAGCCCTATATGACAATGGGCCGGGGAGTATAGTACATTAGAAAGTGCAACGTTAACGTATATTGAGTGTAGAGTCTAACGTCTTCAATACTTCTGTAAGTGGTGGATTTTTTGTTAAAGGTTCAGCGATTGGTTCTGCTTTCTACATATAGTACATCTTAATCGTGGGCACTTTGCATGCAAAGTGCTTAGGCCTCAAGCTTTAACTATTTGTACAGTACGATGCCAGTCGTGAGGGTCAGGCGCGGCGTCGCAACGCCGCGCGCGCAACCAGATTTCCACAACCTTTTCACGGCGGGTTGGTACACAAGATATTAAATGTCAAATTATTGTTATTTATCTACTATTTAACAACTATACAAAAATTCAGCTCTCCAAAGGATCAATTGTGGTTGCTGTGCTGGTACCCGTGATGGTTCGGGGGGCGTTGCGACGCCGCGCCTGACCCTCACGACTGGCATCGTACTGTACATCGCAGGCTAAATAGGACGGCGACGGCGACGGCTGCAAATACGAAGACAACGTCTTTCACATGAATCGTGAATTGTTTTCGACTCGCTAATTCAGATAGATTTAGGCTAGCTGTCATTCTGCGCTTTTGTGGTATGTCTATACATGTATAGGTGATGCGCGTGACTGACATCGTTGTTCAGGAGCTAATTCGTATCATGTAGTGTTTCATAGTTGTATCCTCATACAGTTCCAATATTTGTGTCGGCCACGGTCAACCCAATCTACTTAGAACAATCATTATCAGCCAATTTACCTAGCATTTTCCTGGTGGCCGGCCTGAAGTGTATGTATGTACGTTGTCGTAGGTAAGGCCGCGTATACCATACATCTCCAATCCTATCGTCTCCCATCTCCCTACGTCCCATCTTTTAGTCTTTTCAACTTTGCTTTTTATCTGTCGCTCCCAAACTCCGAGAGTGGATTTGCTCAGACTTTCATTCATTTTAATCGAGCACGTCATCCAAAAAGTTGATATCTTATCGTGAGACAGTTAACTCTACTCCTTACATCCCACATTCTTTTGGTTTTAGCTAGTAAGGTGATACTCCGATTCTATATATCGGTTACTTCTTTATTAATACTGCGTCTTAAGAATATCAACATCTCCCAATTTATCATCGTATATACGGGAAATCGTTTATCGACCAGTTTTCTTCCAACTAGTACACTTCCCTCTTTGTGCTCCATAATCGCTTTCTCACCTTTATCTTATACATCTTGCTATCTGGTTCTCTGCAACGAAACCAAGCTGGCTTCACGATAGCGTCCCGGACGACACCGCTGTCCGTTTCCACTGCAATGTTAAATTCAAACATCACTTTCAACGTTGGTCAGAAACATGAGCGATATGCTGAACTCTCTGAAATTCCACAACCACCAGCACGACCTATCCTCGCAACACGGCATTCTTCTACTGTTTCAGCGACTTTAGGGAATAGAATTCAAAGACACCTCGATGCTGGAAAACCCTTATATATTGGTTTTGACCCCACAGATCCTCCGAGGAATAGTTCAAACATACAGAGGACTTGTGAAGAAGGGGGAGTGGGAGGGCGGAAATGTGAAAAATCGATTAAAAAAGATAGAAAATGGGTGCGGTTTCTTACATTCGGAGCACCATTGGATATCGCAGTCAAGTTTATCCTGACGTTTGGAATGATGATGGCTCTTGTGGCAGTTTTCTGGGCCACAAATCGGGTGATACGTATGATCTTCCTCCAACTCTGACATTATCTGGTGCGAGCAATTTATCTAATATTTAGATTAGAGAATCGACGACTAGACAAGGATTTTAACCTCGCACTTGTGGTTGGCCAGATTATTTGGGGTGTTTTCTTTGGAGCCTCGTGCCTCTTTGGGATGGAATTGATGTGGGGTAAATGGAGGGTACGCCGTAAAACAACGAGTCTATAAGCCTACCTTTCGCTGACCAAATAAAAGAGATCTCCTAGTGCAGCGCTTTTTTTCACGGTTTCGTGGGTTCTTGTTTCTATCGTCCTCCTGATTACCAGTGCCGTTTGGATCTACTTCTACCTCACCTTCCGCGCTTCCTTGATCGAAAGGTGTATGGAACAAACAGTTCGAGTTACCGCAACCTGGGATAAAGATTCCCTACGCCGCATGGCTCCCAAAGCGCAAATTGATGGTTGCCTCAGTAGAGTTGGGCCTAAGGTTAGCTGGACATTGACTTGGGGAATTCTGTATGCGCTTTCATCCTATTCCGGATTGATACTGGTGATTTGGGGAATGGATTACAGAAGACGGTTACTCGAGATCAAGGAGTGCGAAGAAGCAAGAAAGCTTCCGAGAAATGGCGAGAACGATAAGGTGGGGTTATTGTTAGGCACGGCTCCTCTAGGAAGTTTACCGGGTTCTAGAGCATATCCGCCCAGGACAAATAATGTTGAGCCCAGGTAACTACGAAAAAATAAGGCTTCGAACAACTTCCCAAACGATTATTATGCATCATGCAGACTAGTAAGGGAGACAACATTAGGATTCCTGAATTAGCTCAATTGACCGCGCAAAGCCGAAGCAAATACGTAGGAAGTATTAGGCGGTAAGATAAAAGTTATATTCTCAAGTAATTCATCTGTGTTTTCAGCAAGATAATATATGTATGTATGGGGGTTGATGGTAAAGTTTTATGAATGTAATTTCGGAATTTCTTTTTTCTGGACTTAGAGAGTTACTTTCTTTCTTTCTTTCTTTCTTTCTTTTTTTTTCCGAGTGACGGTATCATACTTTGTTTCTCACTTTACTGGGGGTGGTTGTCAGTTTATCTGGCGGTGGGTTGTACACATCACGTGTTAAACAATTGGATCCATGGATCAAGTTAATAACGTTAGAACTAGGTTTCAACAGTAGTTCAATTTGGAACTAAGAGATATTAGGAGATGCCAAAACCTTCAACCTCACGTCTGGTTAACATCACTACGAAGCATGGTGCGTTTTGGCACGGTTTCGGGTATCAGTCACATGAAACAAATAGGAATCAACTTGGATTAAATACCATATCGTTTCCACCTAGTACACAGGGATAGATACAGGAAAGTGAGAAGACTGGATTCCATAAGCCATGAGTTCCTCTCTGATCTCGAAATCTGTCATCAGATGTTGAATATCAGGCAGTCGATCATGGGCATACGTCATCTTTCCAGTATAAGACACGGTGCTAACCAACACAATATAGGAACGCCCGAAGACACAGACCCACGACTGTTAGACTGACATGATATTTTCAGGTTTCCCGTACATCACGGTCGCTAGAGTGACCAGGAAAGAGCTCGCAGGGCAACCTTCTCATTCCCCCTCAATCACAAACGAGAGATAGCGATTTGGTCAGGGTTTTGGTGCTACGAGAGGGATCCAATCAACATTGTTGTTGCAAAACAGGGGTGCAATTTTTCGAGTAGAGCACAACATAAGAGATCCCGGCTGAGCGAGGAGCATCAGGCTAATCGAGTGACAAGAAATTGGAAACGAAGCATAGGGGTGAAAGTGGCACGGCAGTTTTGAAAAACATAACAAAGGGAGCTCCACAGATCTGAGAAGGAACGATTGTATAGACCAGATCCGTGCCGGTTGGTTCCGGGAGATCCACTCCTTTCTTTTTTGAGCAGCATCTTCTATGCAAGTGACTATCCATCGATTGCTACAACAGCTGACCCTGCGGGGATATCACATATGACCTAAGCAGTTATCCGAGGTTAATAGATTCGTAGGGAACTCAGTGAGAAGATCCAAATGACGAGATATAAGGGTACCCACGTGCAGATTACTCCGACAGAACAGGAATAGGGAAGCGAAGGAAGCAAAAAAAGGAAAAATTGCGGGCTCAGCTTGGCACCCAAGAGACCGTAATTCCAGCCACAACCTTAATTCAACGTCAATCGAAGACCTAGTAGTACTTGTGGACCGGTTAGTAGTCTTCGAGAAACCATATCAACGTAAGCGTTCATTCTTCATGGAATAAAGGGCATAGTTCTCAGAGTACAAAGTAATATATCCGTCTGTCTTCCAACACTTCTGGTTCTAATTAAGTTATTAGTCAAAAGCGTAAGTATATTATCTTAGAGTCCGACCAGCTTGATCGCCAGAGATTCTGGAAAAGCTCCAGAAATCCCTGACTGTAACAATTGGCTTGTTTTGGTTGATTGATGGTTACTAGAATCTCTTCAGATTCACAAACAAAGAGGGGTATCAAAACACATTCCAATCACCCGGTAAGCGAACCAGAATCTCGGGATTAAGACGAAAAACAACGAACCAATGTCCAATTCCGGAAGAAATGCTTTATTTCGCCGTGTGAAGATTTCCACCTAATGAGTATTGGCCTGCCGCCTAAGGTCAGTAGTTTGTTTTCGCTATTCCTGTACTGTTGACATAGCCCGGTTGCCTCGGCATCACGAAATATCACTCGACATGGCCTGACCCTCTGACGAGGCCTCCACGATCGCAAATAACTAAGATCATTTGCTTTTATAGGCCTATACTTACATATTGACCTATGTGTAGAAGAAGCATTTTGGTCGCACTTCTTAACGCTTCCGGATGCGGTCCAGAGCATCATGCACGGTTTAGTCCTGTGTCTCAGCGCTGCGATAGGCTGTTTAGTTATTCCTCTGCGGTGAATAATAAAATGGTGCTAGGTTAATTTTAAGTATTAGCTTAATAGCTTACGGTTAGACGCACTGCGTATGATTTGTACTCTACCGCACTCTCTTAATACTAATCCACCTCAAGCAATCCATCAACCAGGCTGGCTGCTAGATTAGGGCTACTAGAGTACTCCGATTAGAAGTGACGCACAGATTCCTCATCAGAGAAAAGGAATACAGATGGTATCGTGTTGATAAATGAATTTATTGATGTTGAGGCGGTCACGGCTTTGATTTGGAGGCCTAGATTGGAGCACTAGGGGTTGATCAGTTAGATTCTTGTATAAAGTTCGTGTTGTAAAGCTAGACGTGCGTTGGTTATAGCAAAGATACTTTGGGATAATAGAGTGCCGAAAGTTAATCTTGACGATAGTCGAATGGATTGTTGGGACAAAGGGGTTGTTGTGGACCTGAAGACGCATCTGGAAAGTCGTTCCACAAACAACCCAAATTTTGAAGACCATAGCGAGTAGAACGAGGAGAAGGCCCCTATCGAACTATCGTTAGAACTCATCTCTAGCAATCACGTCTTTCCTACTACTTCGGTTGCTCCTTCGTTTTGTGAACGTATTGTGTCTGTCACGTCAGTGGAAAGAAACAACAGATGCTGAAGTGTTCCCCAACCTTTTGCTTCTAGAGCTCTCGCGTCGATAACTGTCCAGATCATAGACATCTTTGTCGAACCATATGAATCCACCCAATACAATGCCCCCGCCTCTTCCCCGCTTCGAGTCTCAACGAACACGCTTGGTTGAAGGCTTCAAAATCATCAGCAATCATTAGGTCTTCTCATAGTAGATGAAGTAGTAATAGTAATAGTGACAGCCACTGTAGTATTAGTGTCAAAAACTGTGTTAGCATCAGCAGAAGTAGTAGTAGTAGTAGTAGTAGTCGAAAAATTGGTTCTTGGTCAAGCCCAGAGAGGAAGAGTTAAAGAGCCGAGAGGCGTTTCTGATTGACCACCTAACGCTAAACCTGAGAAATAAAATTGGTATAAAGTAAAGGAAGAAGCCTAGGAGCCTCGAGAAAAGAAGGGAAGCGTGGCTAGGTAGGCAAATGCTAGGATAACACAGATGGCCGCCACAACACAAGAACTTCGACACGACAACGATGCAAAGCTCTAGCAAAACAACTCACGCTGGGGCTTGAAATGTGAGATATGGTATGGGGAAAGAACGGAAAAGGAAGAAGGTCAGCCATGCGGCGCACGGAAGTATATTCCGCACCAAGACCCAGTATCGGTGGCGGTGGCCACAACCCTCCAGGGGTCTGGTGAGGAAGAGAAGGAAAGCCCACACTCCATTCCTAAGAAGGATAAATGACGGTAAGAATATCTCCCAGTCCCATGGGATTTCCCGTCCACCCAGTCTCGAGGAGGGGGAAAGGAAGTATCGAGTGGACGGCGGCGAGCAGCGGAAACCATTGAGATCCCCCAATTGTTGCTTATAACCGTTACCGGGCAGAGAACCAAATTAAACCTCAGATTTTAAGCATGAAGGAGATAAAAATTGTGATAGAGCATTGATTGGTGGCTATTACCACCAGTCCATCATCCTCGTCAGACTAGATGAACCACCAATACATACAACATGCAGTTGGCCCATGCTCAACTCGCGGTAGTTGAAGAAAAGACGATGTCTCTATATCCACATGGTAAATTTGAAATCGTACCGCCCACCTATCAGTCTTCCGGCCCTCCGAAGCCTCCCGCAAGTGAACTTCTATCTACTGCTGTACCAGCCAGGACTACCCAAGTAGGCCGCTGTTACACAAGTCACTTCGGAGAAGCCAGTAAGCCAGTAAACCCATACATACATACATACATACATGTACATACATACACGCACACATTATGATGGATTGAACACCACTCTCGAAGGATTTTTCACAAAGGCTGCGCCGAACCGAAACTTTAGACTTCTAACCTCAGCACGAGGGGTGACAATAACTGTGACAATACTAAAATTAATTGGCCCGTAGATATCGCGAGCTAAGGAATACACAATGAACACCACTGGGCCCGCCGCCGCATCCACTCAATTGAAGACGTACAGGGGGATATTAAGCGTATCTTTTCAAAATGAAAGAAATACTCATAATCGGCCAAATGAAGGTAGAATCCCTAGAAGAGAGTCTGGAAGAATTCAAAGACCTAACATAAACAAACGAGATATCAGAATAGAATGCCATAGCTAAAGCAAACCAAAAAACCAAAAAAAAGATCCCATCAGTCCCCTATCCCTTCCAACTAAAGAAAACCCCGCTGCAGATGCTTGAATTCCATTTTTAAATCACTTCATAAATTCGTTCAACTCGTTCACGCACGCTTGACACCCACTAAAATCCAACCCTGGACGTCAGTTACATAAGGAAAGTGCACTACCACCGTACATATCTCTAGAACGACAGATAGCCAAAAATAGTGGAGGTGCAAGGAAATAAAAGAATAACTGGAAAGTTCGATATCCTTGCCACACCTAATAAACCACTACCAACTTTTATCTGCAAACCCAAACCGGCATCATTGATAGTGTACGCTGTCAATGTGAAATAGCGTTCCCTCTGTTGGGTGTGTGCTGAGGCAACATCAACCCAACATGGCCTCCGGCCATAACCGGTGGCATTGCCCCACCATTATTTCGATGAAACATTTGTATTAACCGCTTTCCAACCGTTTCCTCTAACTCTGTCCCATCTCGCGCTATTTTAACTTCCCGATTTGCGTTCCACAAATTCCGCAGTCCTCTTGTGCGATAGAAAGGCACTCTAGAAGTCGACATCCACTCCACTTTGAATGGTTTACCCCAGGATTTGGAGACGACAGTTGACTTTTCTCCACTTTCGTCGCTCTCCTTTGTGTTATCGGGGGCCTCTTCGCCGCTTAATGCTTCCCAGAATATGGTTCCCCGAGCCGAATCATCAATGATGCGTCCCTGGGGCGCGCTGTCTGTGGCTGGGGTGTAGATCGCTTTTGGAAGATCTGGATCGTCAATCTGCTGGGTTGATGGTGTCCATTCTATGACGTTGGACGGATCATCCAGGATTGGAGAAGTCATCCTGGCATAACCGTAATATTCTCCAGATTTATTCGCAGAGAATATCAGATAAACGTTGTCTGCAGTCTGTTGGGGAAAAAGTTAGTACTACATGACGGAAATGTTCTAGGTCGTTGCCACAAACCTCAAATGCATGATTTAGCGTACTTTCATTGTGGTTTTGCGTCGCCCAGATGCCGTTTCTGACACTCAAATCTAGATCTTCCACAGTCAAACTCTTGACGATGAAAATCCTGTCCCTTCCTGTCTCCCTTGAGGGAGCTCTCGCCCCTCCTGGGCCAATGGGGGGGCTCTTGATCTCTACGGGCGCCTCTTCCACTTCCCCGTCTTTATTTCCCTCATCCCCGCTAGTACTTGTTGGCGCTGATTGATCTGCGGACGGATCCGGCGATGGCGTTGCTGCTCCAACGGTAGACGTAGCTGAGCTTCTTCGCAATCGGCAAACTAGACGTGTATTCTGGAACCTTGAATCATGGAAACGTTCCATCGCCTGGGCACAAGAAAGCTCTGTTCTATAGTTGACAAAAGCGCAGTTACTTTTCGAGATCAAAAATACACTCTCAATATCGTCTTTTGCTTCTCGCGAGAAGTATTCTTTCAAGTCCATTACCTGCGTCCCTGCGGGCAGATTTCCCACCCACAATGCGTGCCCCGACTGCTTTGGCTTCCTAGGCGGCCCACGGGGCATCCCAGGATGAAGGGAGCTTGGAGATACAATGTCCAAGGTGTTCGGAGTGGTCACATTTGTTGTCGCTCCTGAAGCTGTTCCTGAGCTATTAGACTGGGGAAGCTCAAGATACATTGAAATAGATGCAGCTAAGTAAGGGTGGTTCTGACCAGAAGGGCCTCGTGAAGGCTGTACATAGTTTCTGAAGTTATGCCCGTCCACATTCCTATCCCACTGGGGAACCCCATTATACCCGACAAATGCAACTGCATCAGTCTCAGAACCTCGTCGTTTTGGCGGAGACCCCCGGGCTGGAACACTGTGTCGCCGCCCATAAGATGCTGTCGGTGTGTGCTGCTGCTGATGCTGCTGCGATGCTATTTGGGGTATATGCTGGCCTGGTACCTGAGGGCTTGCAAAAACCTGGGGAATATAATAGTAACTAGCTTGGGGCTGCCCAAACCACGGCGGCGCCCCAAAATGCGATTGAGTTGGGCCAGCGGATTGAGGAAATTGAGGATATCCGGCAGTATAAAATGTCCCCTGTTGTTGTTGACTTTGGGGATCTTGCTGGCCTTGAGGTGCTGAGGTGTGGATGTAGTGTTGTTGCGGATAGGGATCGAAATAAGGTGGTGAAAAACTAGGTACATGATAGTACTGACCACCACCTGAAACGGCGGCACCGGCACCGCTCTGGAATTGTGGGACTGGTTGTGGTAGCTGGTAAGTGACCGCGGCCGGATTGGGACCAGTTTGGAAACGTTGTTGCTGATTATGAGGTGCTTGCGGAGGAGCCTGAGCTCCTTGCGGTTGCTGTTGTTGCTGTTGTGGGGAATAGACGGGCAAAGCACGTTGCATATTTGCCATATTGAAGACCGTCTGGGGAGCACCATGGCCTATGGATGCTGCCCGTTGTTGAACGTAGGGAGTTAGGATATAGCTCTGTTGAGTATATCGAGGTTGCTGCGCAGCATTCTGCGATTGCTGGACTGTGGGGGCAGCCATGGCGCTGCTATTTGCGGAAGAAGTCTGGGAAGAAGATGGATAACGGTCTGTGGTAGAAGATGCGGGTGTAACAGTAGCAGAAAATTGTTGGTCGGGAGCCAAGTGTTCCTCTTGTGGCGCCGCTTGATATGGGGTGGATGAGACTATCAGATTGCGCGTGGGTTCACTAGATAATTGCGCATCGCCCATTGGTATTTGATAAGTTCGAAATCTATATTATAGAGAAAATGGGACACCGGTTAGGACATGATCACATTGTAAATTTCATCTTGACTCTTCATATACGATAATAGTAGTAGTAGCAGCGGGTTTGTTGTTGTTACTCAATGCAGTGTTCAATGGTGGCAGCTCACCTACAGAAGAAAAAAAGAACGAGAACTAGAATTGAATGTATTATAACAGAAAAGAGTGGTCTTTTGGCGATCAAAAAAAATAAAAAGGTGTACTGGGGAATGAAAGGGGATCAGAGGTAATAAGAATAAGTCCGGCGGCTGGTACCGAGCTTATATATCACACCGGTACGCGGTGTGTATATGTAGTGTGGACTAGGCTAGATTATAATATTAAGTTAGGCGGGTGGGTGGGATCTGGTGATGGCGTGTGTGTGCAAGGTGCAGTAGGTAGCAATTGATCGTGGGAATTCTCTTGTGTGCAAGTTAAAGCTCTATCTCTGTCTCTCTTCTTTACCTCCGAGACAATCGTGGTGGCTTCTTTTCAGGCGGGATTGCCTCAAACGTGGTGAACTGACGGGTCGGAATAGAGGGCAGAGAGAGTCAGAAACAGTGGATTATGTCTCAACCACTGAGTGTCAACATAATAACAAAACAACTGTCTTATGTTTTTTCAGGGGGGTGTGGTTGAAATGGCGGGAATTGGATGCGAGTAGAGCAGTAGCACTGAATAAATTGACTCGCCAATCCCCTTTCTTTCTTCCTTTCAAAAGTTCGAGAAGAGAGGAGAATGGGAGGGTGATGGGGGCAGATGATTGATTGATCTTCAAGGATGGGCAAGTCGAGGGGGGCAGTTCTACAGAGATGTGGAAATAAGATATTAGGGGAAGAGGGGTGGGGGAGATTTACCGGCGATCCACTGGTAGCGGGAGTAGAAAGGTTTCTTTTCCTTCGGGTGTCTAGGATCGATGTATTGTTCCGTATTCTTCACTTCAAACTATCGAAACGGAGCCCCTCTCTACACTGAGATGTCACAGGGCGAAACGGGTTAGACAAGTGGTGAATGGCAATTCAAGGGTGGCGAATCTAATCTCCGACTGAACCCCAAGTAAAATGTGTAGATGTGAATGTGGGATGTGGGATGTAGGATTGAATGGTTGGGAAGAATTGGTCCCGGGTATTCTCAGAACGGGCTCCCTCTATCGGAATTTTACAAGTAGACAGTCAGGATTGAAGGAGAAACTAAAAAAAAGATTGTGCTATGGGGAATAGAGCTGCTATGCGTGTGCGGAGCAGGGAGTGATTGTGCACAGTGGGTAAGTAAGAAAGTACGTAAGGTGAAGCCACAGGAACAGGAGCAGTACAGCAAGCCAGGGACAGATGTGCAAATGCAGAAGAAGAAAATGAATCAATGGAAGAAGAAGCTCGAGGATGTCGAGTTTCCCGTGGCTGAGACTGATTAGTTAGTTGATTGATTGATTGCGATTCTGCTCTATGCTAGTAGGGTATTCTAGCTAGTACTTCATGTGGGAACCCACCTGAGTGATGAGCGAGGTAAAGAGATTTAGTTTTTTCTGGACCCAGAAATTGATATTATTTCGATTTTTAACAGAAGAGAGATGCACCTGTACAGAACTGAGCCCAATAGTCGCACGGACTTTCTGCGAACAAGGACGACGTGCAGGAGGCAGGTAGGAGGGGGAAGTAATTCTGTATGTAATGTAGGTGCGTGTGAATGTGAGTGAGAACGTGAATGAGTGAATGATGAGTGCGTGAGTGCAAGTGCGTGAGTATGAGTGTGAGTGTGAGTGTGAGTGTGAGTGTGAGTGTGAGCGTATCTGTATATGGTATATGAATCAGTATCTTATGGTGACAGCTTGACAAAACCCCGTTGCACCAGTTCCGGGATTCTTCAACTCAAAGAGAGAAGGGGAGTCCCGAATATAAAATTGTGGCGAGTGTGCACAACACTAAAACATACCTCGATATAGCGTAAGAGCGTCAACGGGCAGAATAAAGTGGCATGGAGGGATCGATGGATGTGGATGGTGGAGGGAGCGGTTTGTAGCACCCCTCTGTCGGTTTTTGATTAGTGTCCTAGAATCTATTGACCGCGCTGCCTACTACATGTACTAATGCTACACGTCTGTATTGGTCTACACGCTTACCAGCCTAAGAACCAGAAAATGCAGTTGCTCAGGGCAAGGATAATTTGTATGGAGTGGCGTCGTTCTCTCATACAAAGAATCCCTGTTTCCGTTACTTGCATTTTCTGGTTCTTTTGAGGGTAAGCTGTAAACTTTTCACACTTCTAATGAGAACTCTGGGATTATGAACAAAAGATAAACTACATGTGGTGTATAACTCGAATGAATTCGTATTTTGCCTAAAAAGGAAGCCATTCCCCTTCTATTAGAAACCATACATAGCTCATGACTGATTCCCTGGTTACAACTGAGTGCCTGTTCCTGAGGCTGGCTGAACTGTAGTTTGTGGTGGCGTTCCGCAGGTGTTGCCATTGCCAGGTTAGGGCTAAGGCTACTTTTCGTGCCGCTGGCCAACCCTTGAGTCTAAGCTTCGCTAGCTCCGGGGGATTGAGATACACGAGAAATCCTTAAAAAGTAGTAGAGAAAGGGCCGATCCGATTCCCAGAGCTCAGGCTTCTTTAGTCTACCTGTGGGCAAGTTTGTATCGGGTCATTATCTAGGCACCCTACCCCCCCCCCCCCCCCCAGCTCTAGTACCTACTGTAAATATTTCAGTCCCGTGGCTACCAGTACTCTACGTCTCCAGAGCAAAGACTTCTCACTCGTAGATTCATGACGTTTCCGAGCGCGGCTGCTATTGCATACCATACAAAAAAGCGCCAAATCCACCTTTTTGTATGTCATGCAATATTTGTCGTGTTCGCTATGAAGCTACGAGTATATTATTGCATATACTCTATCCTCAGCTGCAGAGAGTAAAAAAAAAAAAAAAAAAAAAAAAAAAAATTAGACGAGTGAAGGTTCAAGGTACCGAGTTCAAAAAGGAAAATACAGGCACCCTTCTTCTCATACCCTTCATTTTGACGAGGTAAAAGAAAACCAGAGGCGAAATCAAACATCAGATCAGATGGACAAAGCCGAAAATGAAAAGAAGAAGGCTAGCCGAGAATGGCCGGAGATGTTTGCCGTTCATTGGGACGGAGCTAAAACCGAAATATGTCAATAAACAAATAGAAACGATTGACATCGAAGATCCGGCATATGTACCGTTCGCACCTACCAACCCGAAATTAGAAGAATTTGTTTCGAAACATCGAAGCTCGTGATTTACAATTTTCGGAGCCAGGAAAAACAAACGAGTCACTCAACCGTAGAAATTTTTCCGCGGTATCCTTTTCACAGCAAGTTCTTGTCCCTTATGAATGGATATCGGAACAATGATTTAGTGAGGTTGAGCGGCCAGTGTCGGGCATCGAGCGACAGGGCCCTAGAGTACTCTGCCCTATCCGCACGAGAGGTTCACTCTGATTCGCCATGCATTGAACCTACATGTACCTACAGGAGGGCTAAAAAAGTCTGATACGATGCATTTGTAATCAAAACCTTCTGTGAAAAGTGGCTCGAAAAGAAGAAGCTACTTGCTTCGTAAGGCACTTTAGCATAAATTTAAGTACTGAAATGATTTCTCCTCACATTTTGCACACATCGCGTCAGTGGCGCTCTCAAGGCACGTTATGGGTGTCACACCGCCTAGATGACAGATGTGGCACACTCCCGCTGGATCTCAAGGGAATCAAAACCGTGTTGCAAGATCTAGGGAAAGTTCCGCTGCGAGAGAAGTAGCCTAGTCGGGGTGAATTCTCCATGGTTATTCAACTCGGTGAAACTGTTCAACCGTCCAATCATGAGATTCGAACGCTGATATAAATTTCACTTGTCGTGCGGTAAATAACTTTATGAATCGGCTGTCTGCAGGCTTGACGTCGGGATTCGCCCGGTTCAAAGATCCGTGTGGGGCATTCAACCTTGCTTCCGAAGCGTTGCATTTGCGCTACGCTCCATGTAGCATGTCAACAAGGATAACCTCCTGGAACATGGTCACTGGTCAAGAGATGGTAAACACCACTTCTATGAGCCATGGCAATCTTGGAGAATTCCCATGCGAGGAGCTTGATGGGATTCCAAGGCGTATTCCAAATAGGGCATTCTTGTTCCTTTACAAGTGACCGTGACTCCTCTGGAAACTGAGGCCATCTTTATAATCAAGTAGAATGCCTTGCCCCGTTGATACACATGTTTTTCAGACTCAATAGAGCAGGCATGAACTCTAGTGTAGTCACAACATGTGTGTATGATCCTGAACGTTTCCGAGGAGGAGCTGTCATGATGTGACGAAGAATTTGGGTTGCAGGATAGACATGGATCTAGATATATCAAGCTCTAAAACACCAAAACAGTAATTAGAGGAGCTTTGAAATAGTTACCTAAATCCAATTAGTAATGAATGGTTCCCACAACCACAAGACAAGAGTGGAGATTTTCGACAAAAGCAAAGCAATCTCCCAATTGCAAGTGCCCAGGAACGAATGTGCAAGAGAACCGCGTCTGGCGTTTCAGTGGCACTGTGTAACTCACACTGTCGATTGCCCTTTACCTTATCAATGAAAGTAGCCCAAACGCGAAGCACGTTCCGGATTGGCACTACCTCATAATCCGTTTGATCGGATCGATTTGTGGTTTATTGACCGAAATACCGGTAGTTCCATGATAAACCCGGTTTCTTGACGAGTTCCGACGGAGGCTCTGCTTACTGCGGGGTTCAGCGAGTACCGAAGATGGTAAAGCGATGCCGTTATTGACAATCTTGCACCGCCTTGCCCTACAAAGATCAACCGGGATGTCCCGCGGCTGAGCCACCACATCTGATGATGGCGAGATGCAGCTAATAGATGCAAGTTAGGTTTGAAAGCAGGAACATGAAAACCTTGAAAGATATGCCCTTTGCACCCACTAGAACCAACGCCACTTGTAATCGGTTTGAGTGGATGAAAGCTGACATTGAGACAGCTACCGAGCGAATGATTCTCTGAAGTCTTTGTGGAGGAGATGATCACATAAATAACGGACGCGGCGTTGACTTCCGTAGAAGGCCTCTCACATGGCCCTCTTGGCATGAAGGATGACACCGTGTTCGTGACATCAATTGGCGCTTGTACTTTCTGGAAAATTAAGTAGTCCGGAAAGCCCTCACTAACCCTCCTAATGATGTGAGTGAGTTGATATGAGTATTGTTCTCTAAGGCTCCCTTTTTCTTGGAGGTGTGATTTCCTGGGTGTACCTTGATTTCGGCAGGTACATGTTCAAGATTCATGGGTGTTACGGGGAATACTCGGAGCCGAGACATGGGACCACTGAGCCGTGGCTTGCTAGGCGCATGTGTCGCTACGAATGATCGCCGGCACCCATCCCAAAGTAATATTGACTATTCTTATTCCAAGTTTTTGTTTTTCTGACAACTCCATGGCATTTGGCATTTCAAAATAACCTACTTATCGTAGATCTTCGCTGCAGTCAGAGATATCTTAAATGCGAGAACAGGGAATGGGATCTACAGGTATCCCTTCGTCTGGCAAAAAATGCTGACCCCCCCAAAAAAAGCAAACTTTTGTGTGGCTTTACTAACAGATCCTGTTGTCTCTCTTATCAAATAATAGATCTCCCATACAAATTTAATTCCTCTATTATAGGGGGGTCAGCATTGCCAGACTAAGGGATACATATTCTTTTCTCAGAATGCCTGGAGTTACTAGTAAATGAAAACGACCGAGTAGAGTCTCGGAACGACAACCCGCTCGATCACCGTTATAGAGTAAAAGCAAATTCCACTTCAAAAAGGAAACATGGAGATCAAACTAAATGACAGCCCCATACACGCACTTCATCACGAAGATCTACAGTGTATTGACTGGCAAATATGTACGTACAACATCTAATTTCTATTGTTAGCGCTATGGAAAGCAAAAATTTGCCCCTATTATCGATGGCGAACTCTTTCGAAGCTGTGCGTGGTATACTCTCAACTCCGCCTGGCCGGATATATGCTCCTTTGGGGGTTTTCAACAACTTTGGGGGGTGCTCTGGTAGATGAACGTTGAACTAAACTCCCACATAAAGCATATTGCACAGCCACAGTACTGGCTCGGTAATGCGCTGTTACTGAGGCGAATAATAACCTTATCTTCATCTTGATCTGTAAAGCTCTTGCCTTACCCACGTAGGCATGTAAATGTACGTAGAGTACATGTACCTACATACTCTATAGTAAAATTGTTTATTTTTATTTTTATTTACCTCAAACATGTCTCATCGCTCAGATCTTGATGCCACCGCGTAGCAAGGTAAATACATGTAGTAGTACGCAGAATTAAAGCTTTCTAGACCACACAGGTGTGTAGGGTTTATATAAAGACATGTGTGTATGTGCGTGTAGGTGTGTGTGGGCGTAAGTGAGAGTGTAGAATTGTTCGTCCATCTGCCCATCCTAAGTGTTGCCTGCACAGTAGTCGTCGTCAGCAACGACGCCCAAGGTCGATATGCGAGATGCATTTTCTGTGGATCTTAGCAGACGGTGGCAAAATTAAGTGCTCATCAAAAACTAGGTATTATAATCCGTCCGTCTAAGTAACTACATGTATGGGTCAAGATGTAGGAAAACTTTCTTTGCGTGGATGATAGTCGGCGTCGTTGTTGTTGTTGATGTGGTTGTTGCTCTTTTCCGATTGAAGTTTGACACAGCCATCTGATCTCCTATTGGTGTACCTGAAGGCTTAAGATGGCAACGCGTCCACCATGCCGGCCACCTCCTGCGATGTATGTATGAAAGTAGGTACACAACAACAACGACCGCGGATGAATCCGTGAAGATACCTAATCATACGATAATTTATTCTTCTATGTACCTACATTGTCTAGGTGTGCTGCACCGTAAGTGGGCCCACAAGTCTGCCCCAGGGTCATCGGATCAAAAGCAATTGTGTGAGATACGCATCCATCATCCCCAGAGCCACCCCGATGATAACCTCGTTTTTCGGACCCTCCGTTCCGTTGGCTAGGAGTCGATCGGTTCGGAACTTCTCTAACCAATATGTGCGCCACCGCTCTCACCAGGATGGTTCAGAAACGACATATTCTTACGGAACACTACTCGGAAACCTTTCCCAGCTGAAGTCGACGCATAGGCATTCTCGAAGAGATTTTTTCCCTTTCTTTTGGATAGGCGAGTGCGTGTTTGAGATAGATGTGTTTGGTAGCCATTAAATAAAGATGGATCTAAGTGCGTAAACTGCCAAAGAACTGCCTACATACATGTACATGTATTTATGTATTGAATGTGGCTAAGTTACAAGTACGTGCGACATTAACCCAACTTGACCAGATATTTGGGATTTCCAGCAAACCCCAGTTAAATCATTTGAGTGATCGATGTTCCACGTTCCTTTCCCGAGCACAGACCACCTTGGTTTAAGCGGGGAA